CGGCGTCCCGAGCTGGGCCCGGCCCCCGGCAGCGTCCCGAGCTGGGCCTGGCTGGACCGTGGGGCTGAGCCAGGCCAGCCAGCCCCAGGCTCTTGAACAATGGGAGAAGAGGGCCACAGGCACAAGGCCCGGTGCTGAGGGCTGGGTTCAGGGCCCACCGCGGTCGATGGGCGTCCTTGCCGCAGGCCCAGAGCAGGCCCCTGCGGCGGTACCCGGGCGGCACTGGGTCACGGGAGGTGCCATCCAGGGGCGACGTCGCTGATTGCCCAGGCCTGCAGGCTGTGACCTCGGCAGCCAGCGATGGGCTCTTAATCCCTGCGATCGGCCCGGCGCTGAGATTGTGCTGAGCCCAGCAGGCCTGTGGCAGTTCTCCTGAACGAGGCGCATTTTTCTGTCCTGGGCCTGTTTTCAAGGCAGCTTTGAAGTGTTTTCAGACGACTAAAGGAATTAACTGGGCCGCCGGGATCGGCGCGCGGTCTGGGCGCCGCTTGGCTCCACGCCCCCCTCACAGCAGCACGCTCAGCCCTGCAGAATGTGCTGACGGACGGACGGACGGACGTGGGACCAGTGCAGATTACCAGGGAATCTGCTCAGGGTGCAACTTTCTGTCCTTTGGCAGCTGCTCCAGCCAGCTGCAAGCTGGGGTGCTGCCCCCGCTTTTCCCTCTATGCCTCGGGGCCCCCTCCCCCCCAAGGGCCTGGGAGCAAACAGCCCCTGCAAAGATCACGGCCAGTGAGCACGTTGGCCAGGTAACCAGCTGGGTGCCCGGTCGGCCCAGAGGAAGCCGGGGAAGGCGAGCCGCCGTGCCGCTGGGCTCGCTGGGCCTGAGCGCGTTATTTGGTGTCCCGGGCCCGTGGGGCGCGGCGCAGCTCACAGCACGGGGCGGGGGGGGTGCAGCTCGCCCGTCTCTGTGCACGGAGGGGCACGGTGTCAGCCGCTTGCGGTGTTGTTTTGTGCCCTCCTTGCCCAACGTGGGATTCATGGTGGGGAGGGAGAGGCCGAGGGTGGGGCTGGAGGGGCCATTGGATCAGACTCAGGGCATGGGAACCCCTCTGTGGGGTTGTGTGGGGCTGGGGAGGGAGGGTCTCATGGTGGAAGGCGAAATGGAGACAATCCAGAGCCCCCAAACCACCAGGGAGGCTAAGCCTGTCATGCTGGGGGGGACCTCCCCCCTTATCTTTGCCCCTCTGCAGAGCGAGAGACCCATGGGCCACCCCCTGAGCTATTCATAGAATCATAGATTCTATGGGGATAGAGCTATTCACCCCACAGGCCCTGTCCATTCCTGACCCCCCCCCCGCTCCCTGTGCCCCCTGTGACGTGTCGGGTCACCTGCCTGCCGCCCCCATTTGAACCTCACCCCCCTGAGAACCGGCTGGGCAGGCGCTGAGGGGCTGAGCGGAGGGTGACAGTGCCCCGGGGCAGGGCCTGAGCCCTCGGTGGGTTAGTGCTGGGGCTGCATAAGGGCCGGTCTGCGCTGAAACCCTCCATCGGCCTCGTTACGTCTCCCGGGGTAAATCCAGCCCCCGTGCAGAGAATTCCTGTCACCCGAGCCACTGTGCTGCAGCTGCAGCGTTTGAAGAGCAGACATACCCCACGGCAAGCCCCACCCTCGGCTAAAGAAATCTGATCCGCTCCACTGAGGCCTGGTCTGCCCTGACCAGTCCGGGTGACCTCGCTCTGTTGGCCGGGGGTTGAAAACTCCATCTCCCTGAGCGCTGTCGCGAGGCCGACCTAGCCCCAGTGTCGACGCAGCTATGGCAATGGAAGAATGCTTCACGTCATTCCGGGCAGTGCCGTTCCTATACAAACGTAACCCCCCCTCCTGCCATCGCCGCAGACTGCGTCTACACTACGGCCGGCCTAGCTACACACCAGCATAACCGGACCAGTGTGGTCTCCGTCGTGTAGCCACTAGGAAAACCCTGCCGGAGGAAGAGCAGGTGAGACAGAAAGACACTTTCATGCATTATAATGTTAGAAGGTGGCGATGGTGGGGGAAGTGGGATATACAAAACTTTCATACCAAACATTTGGTAGCGTCTCTTCTCCTTACTCCACTAGCTCTTGGTACAAAACCACGCCCTTCTTTTGCCAGGAGACTGCAGAGAGCGGGGCAGATGCTTGCACCTGAGGCTAGGTTTGGTACAAAGATGGGGTTAGACAGACACTGAGC